CAATTTGCAAAATTGGACAATCCTTTGCAAGGTCACATACCGGGCCAAAGATTTAACGAAACGCAAGGGCGAGGGTACACGCTCGCACCCACTGGACTCGAGTGCGGCGTGTTAAAACTTATGACCTGTGCAAATACGTCGATCTAGTATAATTATCTTGGGGCCGGGTTTCGGCTAATTAGACTATAAATCGCTATTTTACTCAGGGGGGGGGGGGGGGGTTCAGTTTAACAGACATTTTCTGGACAGTGAGTTAACACCACAAATAGAACTGTACTGTGCTTTAGTATTTAAGCCCCATTTTTAGCAGGGCTAGCATCACTTTTTTTTCTTGGGGGGGGGGGGAGGTGGGGGTGGGTGGGTTGTAGTATCATATGTTCACTCTACATTCATGATACTTATATATGGAAAGCAGGCTGAGGATTATATTGTGTGTTCTACATTGAAGGTTTTCAAAGAGCGGAACAAATTTCACATTTATATGGAAATGTCTATAATATATATGTACATAGTGTCCCACACGTTACCAAATTGTCCCATGCGTTACCACAGGTAATACATACATTTTGTTAATTCGATAAATCTAACCCAACCTCTTTGCTATGAAATTAGCATGTCCCAAGGTAACTCAGAACTTGTTAAAGTTTCACTAAAATGCGATGTCGCATCTGTAAGTAATTGAAATATATTATCTTCAAAAAGTAACGCGTGGGAAATGCATATTGTGGAACATCCCTCATTTGGGTATTCAGTTAGTTGATGAACAGAAATTCCTAACGTGAATGACCTACCCCATATGCAATATGTCCCTGCACTTTGTTCATAATCTCTATTAAAAACTATTGAAATACATTATAATGGGATGATGTATTTTGTAATGTCCTACGCAGAGGCGGCCCTCCCGGGGGGCAGGGGGCACAGTGCCACCCACTTTTTCAGATACCCCAAAAGTGCCCGTTTTTACAAAGGAAAGTTGCCCCTTTTATTTTGTAAGAAGTGCCCCTTTTACTTTGACAAGTGCCCCTATTACTTAGTGAAAGTGCCCCTTCCCCCTTTTCACCTCTGACGAGAACCCCTTTTATTTTTGACACGTGCCCCTTTTCCTTCGACATGTTCCCATTTTCCTTTGCAATAAGTGTCCATTTTCCATTCTCATAAATCTTGAAATTATCTTGAATAAGTGCCCTTTTTAATCTCTAGTAAGTACCTCTTTTCAGGTACGAGAAGTGCCCCTTTTCACTTTTGATAACTGCCCCCTTCACCTCTGATAATTGCCCTATTAAAAACTAAGAGGTGCTTCTTTTACCTTGACAAATGCCCCAGTGCCCCTTTTTTCCTTTGTAAGAATTGCCCCTTTTCCTTTTAATAACAACCCCTTTTTTAAACTCGGATGGGCACATCTTTCATTTTAACATGTGCCCCTTTTATTTTCTAATAAGTGCCCCTTTTCCTTATGATAAGTGCCCCCATTAAAAAGAAAGAGCTCCTTCCCCTTGTCATAACTGCCCCTTTTAGAAATCTGAACGGTGCCCCCTTTTCATTTTCTTTTATTATAAGTGCCCCTTTTACATTTTCATAAGTGCCCCTTTTCATATCTCGTCAGTGCCCCTTTTCACCTCTGATAATTCCCCTTTTAATAATGATACGTGCCCCTTTTCCTTTCTAATAAGGGACCTATCCTCTTTTCACCTCTTATAAATGCCCCTATCAAAATCTGATGGGTTCCCCTTTTCCGTCAACAAATGCCTACTTCCCATTTTCGTAAACGCCTCTTTTTCATCACTGGTGAGTGCCTCTTTTCAGGTGAAAAAATGCCTCATTTTCACCTCTTATAATTATCCTTTGTACTTTGACACGTGCTCCTTTTCTATTCTAATAAGTGTCTTATCCCTTTCGATAACTGTCCTCTTTTTATGTAATCATTAAACGTGCCCCGTATGTAAAGCCACTAAGAGCAATTTCCCCCAAAGTTCGCTCGCTGCGCTCGCTCGCTTTTAAAGATGATAGAATTATGTTACTTATCAAAGGTCTTTTCAGTCTTCCGTTATGAGAATGTGCTTATAACCCCATCTCAATTGGCTTTTTTTCTCTTTAAAAGATGTAATTTTTCGCACTGCGACCTCAGTAAGATCTTTAATTTTTTTTCTCGCTCGCTCGTTAATGCATATTCAGACATCACACCCAACTGTAAAGTATGATGCTTAAGCGATATCTTGTATGATGTATGAAGAGAAACAAATATTGAAATCATCCCTGATAATATAATCACAATGTAGGGGTATATACCAATGTCTAAAAAAAGGTACTATATTTTCGCTTTGAGATTTCCCACTGTAGGTGCCCTTTTTTCCAGAAAGTGCCCTTTTTTATTGGTGCCCCCCACTTTGGAAGTCGCTCGGCGGCCCCTGGTCCTACGCGTTACCATTACTCATCGATTATGCAAATTTAGTCATTGATTACAGGTTTCATACATTTACACATTTTCAAATTCACTGACTTTCCCTGACTTTCCAGAGCAGATAAATGTAAATTTCCGTGACTCATTGGTCACGTGAGACGCTGATTTACAAAGTTATTAAATTGATCTGAGTGCCATGCACGCAGGGCAGGTTCAATCGCGAATTTGCTAACCGTAAAATATATCTTGAATAAATGATTTTCCATGACTTTTTTTTTCTGAATTAAGTATTTTAAAGTTCCCTGACTTTCAAGAAATTCCCTGACCCGTCTGAACACTGTCTGGACCAAAATTTCTTGAAATCTACGGGGGGGGGGGGGGTTACCGCTTTATAGAGGAAAAATTAAAGCATTCAAAACTGAGAAAGATCAGCCCAAAGAGGGAGGAAAAAAAGGGGGGGAATTTCTAAAAATGAAAAATTCCGACCTACCGACCCGCGTTTTGCCACATCTTTTTGTTAAAGTAGATATTCATTGATTTTAGAAACTAACTTTATTTTCATTATTGCAAAGTTGAAACTTTGATTCGACAAGGTTATCAAAATTCAATGCTTGGAAACATTCGAAGTAATGATTATTATAAATTTCAAAACGCTTAAATACAGCCCCGGCATAGCACCTGAAGAGCTCTCCGAACGCTGCTGAGATGTGTGAGATCACAGTATGGACATGACTTGCACAAGCAGACGATGCCCCATGACATCTCACACATTTTCAGTGCCTGTGTTTTCATCTTCTCTTGAGTTCTTTCTCTTACTTCACTACCGTCAAGCTAAATGTATAATCTATTGCCTCACTCTAAACCACGCGCATGGTTTTATTTTGATGACAAATGCAGCGATACAAAAATAAAGGAATTTGTCGCTTGTAAACAAAATAAGACACCATTGTATATTCAGCTGCACACACCGGGGTATGTTCGGCGTTTCATAAGGGAACAAATGCCGTCCTTAATATCATTTCCGGGGGGTTTTCAATTTGAAAGTCTGGTTTCTTTGATTGTTAATTAACCCCTATCCTGTGTATTTACAAGCAAAAGATTTTAGTTATCAGAATCGGATCATATCCCCTTTTGAATGGTTTGACATGCCATTACATATATATACACTAAACTCATTATAATTTGAGAAATAATAGCTTTGCAATTACGTTCATTCTCTATGGGATGTCGTCTGCTTGGACAGTGTTGGTCCATAAAGTGACGTCATTAAAACATCGTTATTTTTCCGGCGAATCTCTCGTATATCCCAGCTGCTATGGAGGTGGTTGTATTTGTATTTTTATAAATCACCCGAAATGTAGTTGACCTATAACTTGTACGATGGCCATCTGTTAGCTTACCAGTTTCTAGTGATACATTAGTTGACATATTTGTGATTTTCTTTGAATTTCACCTTTAAGGCTTAATAATATGTTCGTTGATAACGCCATCTTAGGCGGCTTGAATCAAGTGTGTAGGGAATATAGAGAACCGGCCAGTTTCTGGACTAAGTCATCCCCTGTACTTCCAAGATATGAAGAGAGAGAGAGAGAGAGAGAGAGATAGGCATACAGAGACAGACAGACACAGAAAGAGAGAGAGAGAGAGAGAGAGAGAGAGAGAGAAGAAAAAGAAGAAGAAGAGAGAGGAGAGATAAAGAGATAGATAGAATGAGAGGATAAGGGAAGTACTCGGAGGTGAACAGGGTCACTCCTCCGCAAAAAATGTTGCTAAATGCTTTAATTGCATTACCAATTCTACCCTCTATTAGCCAATTATAGGAAGTGAAACTATAATTTCACTCTCCATTCATCTTATGTGAATATGTCCCTTTTGTTCTCCATACACATGTGCCTTGCACCCATATGGCAATAGGCCCACTTTGAAGCATGCCCGAAAACAGATTATTTCTTTTAGCACTGATCATAATTTATTCAACTGTTATATTCTTCCTATTAATTTGCTTCAGTCATATCATAAAACATTTATTTTTCACACCCATTAACCACTTCCGTTATCCCACCATCAATATTCTTTGATCTAAGGTGTACCTTTTGTTTTGTTATGAATATACTATTTGTAATGACTTTTTAGCACTATTTAATTTTGTGTTGTATTCTTGTGTTAATAATTATGTAAATTGCACTCAATTCGGCCGATAGGCTGCCATGTACAATACATTTTTTTTTTTATACCACAATAAATAAATAAATATATTTTAATTGGAGAAAAAAAAACGACATTTAATCGAAAGATAACATGCACCTGATAATCTCAGTACGTTTCTGGCAATTTCGTCATTCCTAATTATGAAATTATCAAATTATCACATCGGACATGCCAGCAATGACGTCAAATGCGTCATCAAGCCACGTGACCGTGTTACCTTTTTTCGAAGGGCGTAGCCCAGCTGGCGTGAGATCTGTGAAAAAGGGATGGTTATTATCATTTTTTGTTCAATTTAGAGATTTTCTAAAAAAATCAGAGGCTGGAATATTAATAAGCAGAGGTGTATTCAGGTTTAAAAGGCTATGTTAGTTGGATTAGAGTGGATTTTTAAGACGGTCGCAAGTTCGCAACTATTTTCGAAAAATCAACTTACAGCTATTTCAATACCCTATTGTATGTCCGATATAAATGGTGTTCGGATTATGTAATATGCCATTGTCATGTTCGCATTTTTCAATGAGTGACGCACAAGGCAACAGTTACTATCGTGAAAGTTAAGTTCAAGTTCAACAAGATAATACAAACTGAGAGGACTTTTGATCAATAATGACGATGATAACGACGTTGATGATGACGTTATCGTAGCAAAGATTATGTCCATTTACCTGGCAGGAATTAATTCCTTGAAACGCTAGAGCGCGGTAATGGCAGCACACAGCTAAAGCCAGGGTAATAATTTCCAAATTTGTGAAGGCGCCTTGAGTATCCAATTGGGTGGATACGTGCGCATTAGTGTTTCTTTTATTATTATTATTATACTGAATTTCCTTTTCTTTTTTTCTCTGATCAGGCTTACGATGTTGGATGGATGCAAATTACCTACTTCGGCGGGCGGCACCCTGATAATTGCACTCTTATGTGCATTCTGCATGGCTATAATCTTAACATCTCAAAGTACACTGAATGTTTTACCAGGTAATGATAATTGTGGATGTAGATATGGCTTAATACAAAATAGAGTCTTTAAGCGCTTTACATTATGTCGTTATTATATATTATATTCCACATACTAATAATCTTGCTCTACGATTGGTCAAAAGTAAATCACGTGATTAAAAAAAGTTACACTGTGTACTACACAGTGCAACGCACTTTCACTGAAGATAGTAGTACTATCTAAACATGCAGCGCAACGCACTTTCACTGAAGATTGTATACGTTGCGTATACGTACGTAACTAGTGCATGCACTGTACGTATTGTACACCGTTTGCTAGCTGTTAATTGATGACTTGTTACTCTAGAAGGACGGACGAAATGAAATGTTTCCGATGTGGAATATAAAGCAAATAATCACCTTCTGGTTTCAGGCGATGGCAAACTATGACTTCCTCGTCGATCAGAATGTATACGCTATCTTTCCTCAGCTTCGCTTCGGATTGCTAGCTACATCCAGATCGCCTCGGAAGTGATAGCTTGTCCCATCACCTGCACCAACGGTAATTATTTGCTTATCATCCCGGCCTACCATCGGATTAATTCATGCACACAATGCGCACCATCTCCGCTCACTACGGAGTATTCCTACTATGTGTGGACAACGTGCGGGCATAATACAAAAGAATAGAATTTATTGTCTTCTTCCAAAGTTCGGAGAAACTTTCCTTCCAGGTGATCATACATAAAATTACCAAGCTTATACAAAAATTATAATATAAATACAATCATACCAAAATATAAAATGCATAGCAAGTATGAATAAATAAATAATACATAGCCTACATATAATACAAATTACACATAACATAAGGATATAGGGACGAAGACAAAAAGGAAGAAGCAGAGACGAATATAGAATGAGGGGAATTAAAGGAGAATGTAGCCCCGGGGTAAAGTAACTTAAAAATCGACCCCCACCACCTCCAGGGCCTCACTCTTTTTCAAACAAGTAGGAAGAGACAGAAAGACTAGGGAGAGAATGGAAAAAAGAAGGGGAAAAAGAAAGGAAAGTAACAGAAATAAAAGGAGAAAGAGAGGGGGAGAAAAGGAGATGAAATACAGGAAGATAACAGAGATTTAGGAGAGAGAATAAAGAGGGAGAAAGTACATGGCATATAAAAAAAAAAAGCTTAAAAAGTTATTGGAAGGGCAACTGCACTGCTGCTGCTTGGAGGAAGATTACACAAAGTAATAACTAAAGACCAACTCCCAAGAACATATTGAAATGCATGGAAATGTCGGCGGGCGCATGCAAGGTGGCTACCAGGAAGCTGTAATGAATGGAGATACCGTCTCCAAAAAATTTCCCGAGGAAAAGATATTCAAGATTAACTTGGCTTAACAAAAAGAAATGTAACCCTCTCCAGCCATAATATCCATCAACAGCTGTCCTTACCAATGCACAGTTCCCCTCTGGTATTCCAAATATTACGAAATGTTACGCAACGCCGTCTGCTTCCCGAAGTTCTCTATTCACTCGGTCGTATTAATATGCAGACATCGAGCTTTGAAGACATGCGTGGCACCCAAAAATTAGGTATGTTCAGTGAAGATGTATTTAGCTATAACATATAAAGTACAGAATTCCCGATATAATGACCAGTGTAACTTTCTATTGGTTATCAAATGCTTTTTTTCGTGCTCGGATAGCTCTACTGAAGACAAAACCAGCAAAATTGACCAAGGTAATCGAGAGTTAGAGCGAAAGTAAGCTTTTCATCATCATGACTTTCTCATCTAATTATTGACATTTTCCGAAAAATTTCCGAAATTTGTATATAGCTAGGAAGGAACCGCTCCAGAAAGTTCTCGGGGATCGCGCATTCGTTAAGGATCGCGCCATCACTCGGCTTAACGCTTACAGTCGGCGAATAACAAAAATCAATAAAAGGGTCCAGAACTAAACTAGGGCCAGAGTGACCGGGTGGCGTTCGGTGTCCTAAGACACAGAATGCCGAAAATTGGTTGGCGGAACGCGTCCATCTTCGGCGATATGTGTCTTGGGTCTGACGCATGTCGCCGCGTATATCACGGCGAGATGAGTCCACTGGGAAAATGTGTCCTAAAACTTAAAAATCGACTTGAAGTGTGCATAAAATCTCCACTTTAGAAATAAATGTGTTATATTGTTGGCCAAGGTTTCTGATTTCAAGTCTTTCGGTAGCCCTTTTGGCCGCCATTATGAATGTTCATGGTCAAGGTAAGCACTTTTACTTTTGAAAATTGAATAGTTGAATTTGCCATGTCAGAAATCATATTAGTAGACACTAAATTCATTAGAATCGGACAATGTCAACTGTGCCTGGGAATTTGACCACCAGTCAAAAGTGCGTTGACCTTTTTGACTATTGCGCCCTCATTAAAAGACCAAGGTATGACAAACTATACATTTTTGAAATCCTCATGACCAGACGAGAAATTTGGTATGCATATCGACACGATTGGAATATATTTAAATTTCGACCCCTGTTTGACCTTTGTTGACCCCTCCCGGAAATGCCTGACATTTTCAAGGGGGCAGCCCGAGTCAAACTTGTTCGGTATTAGGGACTTTTAGATTGAGTGGACGAGAACACGACGAACGCCGACTGATCATGCGTGTCAACGTATTCAACTGCCCACGTTGACTACAATTAGAAATCGTTTAGATTGCACTCGACGATGTACATGCATGCAGGAAGTAACACTATGAACATGACGAACAAAGAAAGAGGACAAAATATACAGTTCCTCATTCTACCCTCAAAAAACAATAGACCATTTTCGTAATGTAACCACATTTAATGCACAAGTCTTTGTGAAGAGCCTCAATACAAATTATTTAAATCACCTGATAAGAATAATAGCAATTCAGTAGTCAGAATGCAAACTGCATATATCAAGTGTTGCTAGGAAGGTCAAGCCATAATATTTTCCCAACCTGGCAAAAACTAATGTATGCAGTTTGGATTATGTCTATTGAAATACTACTATTCTTACCAGGTGAATGAAATAATTTGTATTGAGGCACTTCACAAAGACTTATGCATTAAATTTGGTTACATTACGAAAATGGCCTATTGCTGTGGTAGAACATCCCTTCACTGCTCTTATGTAAAAATGTGTAGAACAGGTGAATATGCATGTGACACCTGTTCTACACATTTTTACATAATAGCAGGGAAGGGATGTTCCTTTGTCTACCTGAGGAACTGTATATTTTATGCGCACGCGGCATATACTAGTACTGTACTAGATTTAGGAAAATCAAGGTTGACGCATTCTCGATCGCCGACTGAGACGACGTGATGCATGCGCAGTGCCTTAAAATGACGTCACACGTTGCAGTCAAAGCTGTCGACGTGCAAATCTAAAAGTCCCTATTCATCAGGGAACACAGACGCATATCGGATAGACTATCTCACCACCTGGTCAACAGTTGCAGATTAGCGCACAACTTGTCGGCGGCATGGAGCATGGGGTCAAAGGAAAGCGGTTTGATTCCACTCCTTTCTTTCACCTACCTGTTCTATTCAAGCTAAGTCGATGTTGGCTCATTGTTGACTTTCTCATGTTGGTTATAGTACGCACAACCAGTCGGCCCGTTTGTTTATATTATAAATTAATTAATTAATTAACGGTCACCATATTTGTTTGAAAGAGAAGCTGAATTGGTATGATCGTATTGGCTTAATTTCACATATTTGGGGTCTAAATTAAATTATCTTCATATCAATTTTAGGTCCTAAAAGAGTACTAGAAATGTCATAAATGAGAATAAGAGCAATAACCATGCCCTTTGAAGGCATTTGCGGTCTGAAACAAGAACTCAACTATCCCTTAATGGTACTATGTCCCATTTGCAGGCCAAAAAATGAAAAGGTTAAATTCCAACGGCATCAGTTGAAAGATAATACTGATTTAGATGGCGAGATCTGTACTGCTTACAAAGGACAAAGTTGAAGCAGGTCCAAAACTTTCAGTACCTTGGCTCGTGGGTTGATCAGTCAAAACAAGATCTGAATATCCGAAAGGCAAAAGCCTGGACAGCTTTGATCAAGCTGACAGCCATCTGGAAATCAAACCTCGGTAGAAAACTGAAAGTCCGTTTCTTTAGGGCTTCAGTGGAAACTGTACTGCTCTATGGACTTTGACGAGTAGCCTGGAAAAACAACTGGATGGTTGCTACACAAGACTCTTGAGAGCAGCACTAAATATCAACTGGAGGGACCATATGACCAATATTGAACTGTATAGGGACATTACATCGATCTCAGCCAGACTAAGAGACCGCCGCCTCCGTTTCAGTGAGCACTGCTGGAAGAGCAAGAGTGAAATCATTTCACAATGCTCTTTTGGGAGCCCTCAAGGGGCAAACGCACCAGAGGGCGCCCAGCAATGACTTACATTGACCAGTTAGAAAAGGACACCTGTCTACCAAGACAAGAGCTACCAAAGATCATGGAGAATAGAACTGAATGGATAAAGCTTGTCAAATCAGTGCGAGTACGCTCGACCTAGTAGTACAAATTTAGAACTTCCCTAAAATAGGGGGGCTTGAAAATGTCTTAAAGTGGGAAAATAATGATTATTAGTTGTCGAATTGACTTAAGAGCTATAGAGCCAGTAAGTAATAGTCTGATTTTCAGACCATTGAACCGAATGGTCGTACGTTTTATGCTGCACACAGATTCAATCAGTTTTATTTTGGCCATTACAAGAAGTGGGCAATTGATGTAGAAAAATGCTCATGTACCCTTTACAGCTCATTTTATGTATGTTATTACCAAAGAAGAAAAAAGCCAGTCAGTCTCTCAATAGTGTCTGACAGTGAAGTCTAGCAAGTAAACGGGTTTCCTTGCATAATAGGACATACATGACATATTCATAATTCCTACAAAGTTCTATAGAATTTGATGTTGATGTTAAACACACGTTTGTATGTGTAATGACTTGCTCTGTCTCACAAAAATACATGTATATGCTTCCATAAACAGTTTATTATGGCCACTGACTCTCTCCTAATACCAGTGGCGGATTCAGGGGAGCAAGGGGGCACGGGCGCCCACCCCTGACCATAAAAAGAAGTACAAAACACCTTTTTTAATAAATAAACGAAAACGACCACACCCCTGTTGTTCAAGGAGCGGTTGGGAGGGAGGGGGGGGGGGTGTTGAGTAAAACAAACAAGAATTGTGCTCATTACCCCCTCCCCCCTCGTTGAGCAAAACAAAAAGAAGGTTAACACACTTTTGTATGTGTAATTACAGTCATGCACTGTCTCACTCACTGTACATGCTTGTATAACAATTTATTATGGGCATTGAGTCTCTCCTATTAATCCAACATTAATCATTTTATGGTCTATATGCAAAATTGTTGTTTAGTTTGGGCTGTGCTTCATTTTGAAGGCTCATACTTCATATTAATGACAGTTGTAATAATGATTGAAACGATGTGTATCTACTTGCAGAAAAAGCAGTATTCTGATTTTAAAAAATTCAACCAATATAAATTGAGTTAATGAAGGACGTTCTTTCGCTTTGTAATGAAGAGAGATGTCGCTCACAAAATTGTCATGATTGAAATTCATATAGGTTGAATATTTCAAATGTTTTTTAAAAGAAGGATCGTGGGGAAGTACAAGGTAAATCTTTAAAAAAGGCTAAAAGATCTAAACTAATTTCCGCTTCAGGTTGAGATAAAATATAGGATTGAAGCCGAATCTAGAATATTGACAACGGCTTGCCACACCTTCCTATCTTCGGTTAGCCTAGTGGCTTTAGTCAGGGAGTCAAGTTGTCCATTGTTGCAGTCCGCTTTGATGCAGTCTGTCCATCTCTTAGCTGGTCTTCCCCTTGGTGTTTGCCATGTACATTTCCGTTGAGAAGGATGTGGGGGTATCTTTTTGGATTCATTCGGTTGACATGTCCAAAGCATCTCAATCTTTTTGTGGCAACCCTGTCGATGATGGTTTCTTCCATGTTAAGTTGTGTTCGTATGTGTGTGTTTCTTAGCCTGTCATATCTGATCACACCCATGATTCTCCTGAGGCATGTCATCTCAAAAGTGTGAAGTCTATTTTCATGGACCTTTTGACATGCACCCTTAAATATCGTTCATTTTCCTCTTATTTTTTTGATTAATAGCACACTATATCAAAGGTTAAAGCTGCTAAGGCATAGGGTGTGAACGTGGAATTATTATATGGCGTACGTGGTGGCAAAATAGACTTCACGACTAGCCTAGATATCTACAAACCCAATCACTAATCATGCCCATTGCAAGAGGCCTCGTACCCAGTTCCTTTGTATATGGATGCGACATTACGAAAATCGGCCGAGAAAATATAATCAATAGTTTTTTTTACTGAAATTCAAAGGTTTTTATCCCTTTATCCTTGCTTTTTAATTATGTTAGGATCACTTTAATAGTTAGTTTTCCTCTCAATATCTGTTTTGCTTCTATCGTTCTTTGCCAGGTAATGTCTTTAAGCCGAGTACAGAGATACGTTCCAGCGTGAAGGTAAGTTAACATTAACGGTTATGCTACGACAGACCAGTTTGTAGATTGATGGCTCATGGTACAAATAATCTCACTTTGTGCATTTTAGAGTGATCAGCAGGCGCGTACGCAGGGGGTGGTTTTGGAGGTTAACCCTCCCCTCTCAAACTTTTTGTTTATGTGTGGGTATCGGAGGAACCCCCCCCCCCTCATTTTTTTTTCAAGTGTAAAAAGAAAAAAGAAAAAAAATTGTGCTGAAGGGTAAAAATTAAAAAAAACTGACCTTACCCCCCTCCCCCCTCCCAGTGACCGAAATAATTTTCAAATTTCCGGGAAGAAAAAATAATATCAATAAACTGGCTTATTAAGATTACAGTATGTTAAACACCGATGGCGTATCTGGACCACGTACATCGTCAGGAATAGTGGGTAAAAAATATCAAAGCCAATTGTGATCCATGTATTTAAGCGAGTAAGCAGCCCCCCCCCCCCTCACTCCATAAGCTTGAGATGAACGTATTGGACATGTGATACGTCGTGCCCACTACACGAGAGGATGGAAGGAACACGCGATCCTGTACTATACGTATCCGAACACCTACCCCTTGGATATCCCCCCTGATAACCACCCCAGTCAACTACCCCCTTGGACAACTACCCCCTAGGACAAATACCACCCGGACAACTACCACCTAGGATAATTGTCCGGGGAAGTTGTCCTAGAGGACACTATGAACATGACTGACAAAGAAAGCGGACAAAATATACAGTTCCTCAGGTAGACAAAGGAACATCCCTTCACTGCTATTATGTAAAAAGGTGAATATGCATGTGACACCTGTTCTACACATTTTTACATAATAGCAGTGAAGGGATGTTCCTTTGTCTATCGAGGAACTGTATATTTTGTCCACTTTCTTTGTCAGTCATATCCATATTGGGATGGTTGTCGTAGAGGGTAGTTGTCTGGGGGTAGTTGTCCTAGGGGGTAGTTGTCCGGGGGTAGTTGTCCCAGGGGGTAGTCGTCTTAGAGGGTGGTTGCCCTAGGGGGTAGTTGTCCTAGGGGTAGTTAACGGGGATGGTTATCCGGGGGTGGATGTCCAGGGGTAGGTGTCCTAGAACCTTCCCTGTATAGTACCATTTTTGGGGAACATCTTTGCCATAATATGTACAAATATATTTATAATTGGAACATGAAAAAAGGATTATGGGTCTATGAATTATTATATTCCATGAACAAAAAACACTTTAAAAGAACATAAATCCAAAATTGCTCGCGGCCTCCCTGCTAAGGTCAATCTATTGCACTTACAACATTTTGAAACAAGTTTTTTTCAAAAGTTCTTTTAAAAGCATATTATGTAGGCGCTATCTTGGTATCATCTGGAATGCTACTCCATATCTTGTGTTTATTAAATATGGACTTTTATGAAATGTAAAATTGTTGTCCCTCAGCATCAGTGAACAATAATCATATGCCTGGCTCCTGAACATTTCGTGGCAAGCTCTCACATTAATTTAATTTTTTTAACAAATGGGGTGCTATGAATTAAGATTAAAGCAATTTACACAAACATATATTGCCTTTAGTATCTCTTCTATAGTAGCATAATGGTCATATCAAATAAAATGAAAATATGTGGAGAAACTTAGAGGACATGTTAAGCAATGTTCATAGATCTTCTGATAATAAATAATAGTTATGTTCCTTTAAAACAATGCTAAGCTGTTTTCTACAGTACATTGTTCACGCCATAATGATTTAAATATGCCATGAATAAGTTGAACTAATAACATTTCATCATTCTCTTATTTTTTGGGGAAATACAAGTTTGAATAACTTCAACGACAACCACATCCAAATTCTTTTACTGTGGATGGTTGTTTAACCCTCCATGCACTTTTTGGACACCCCGTTTATATGCATGTACATAATACTATGATATGTATAAAAAGGAATGTTTGTCTTACAGAATTCGATAACGAAATCAAATTGTAGTGATCTGTGTCACCCCAAAACTGGTTTTATATCTAAACATTATAAAGGGAAAACCAACCAACCAATTTGCCCCAAATTCTGGGTTGAAGGACAGGTAAAGAGAACATGGATCACTGTTCGCCAATTGACATTTGAGTTAAGTCGTTGGTAAATATGTTCGTGAGGAGGATTGCATGATTATTTGCAATACGTGCTTAGCCTTGCATGAGAAAAAATAGATGATTTAATTTATGTACTTATATCATAGCAAATATGGTACGGTATACCATCATGAATATTTATCTTTTATAACATAGGTCTAAAAAAAAACCTTCGAATACTACACGTTAACACGCGCTTTAAATGCCGTCCGGAGCCCGTGCCTCATCTGGTCAGTGGCAAAAGGACATTAGGGCCACGGCGTGATTCAAACTACAAACCATGTGATCCACAGTCCGATGACGTATGCACTAGACCACGGCACCTTAATTAAGGGCTGTTTCAGAAGGGATTCAACCTGCCGAATCCGTTCTTCTTTTCAATTTTAAGTTGCCATGATATAGGGCCTAAATACAAACAAAAATCTATTGCCCTCTGGTGCCAGCACCTGGGTCGGTCGGTCGGTCGATTAAAAATTTTAAAAATTGCTTTTTGCTTTTTACTTTTTACCCCTCTTAAAGCTGGTATTTCTCAGTTGTAAATACTCGAATACAAGTCATGTTAAGATGTTGAGATAAATTTCAACCAGACGCATCCATACTTTGTTCTTTTTAAAGCTATTCCTTCATATCTAATGAGGGACACCTTCTAGGTCAAAATATGTAATAGGTATGAGCTGAGAGGCTTTTAATCAGTGAGTAATTTTCGACCGATCATCTCGAGCTTACCGTACCTTTTCAAACTCAGCAGCTGAAATACCCTATCGTTACTAGACATTATCTATTTTTGAAGCAGGAATAATTTTGTATATATTTTCTATAGGTATATAATTTGCATATGTTCTGTTTTTTTTGTATTAATGTCATTATTATTCTTACTCTTATTATTATTGTTATTATTGTTGTTTCTATTATCACATGTATTATCTTTAGTATTATTATTTCAATAATCATCATCGACGTCACTTGTACGTGTCACATCTGATCTCCGTAGTGATACCTTTGTCTTGAGGTCATGCAATTGAGTGTCACTTTTTACCATCCCCGTCGGTTTAAAGTTCTTGTAGTGTGTTTAAGATCACATCAAGCTTCTTCATAACAAACGGCTCAAAATGTCTTACTACTAGTCATCGCAGCTGGGCCAGTTATGTTACGAATGATTTTCTCAATTATGTTTTCACAAATAGAACTCATCATGAACTTGCCAGGGTCACCTTACGTTCTGTTTGTTTTTGATAAATATCATATTACAAAAATATGAATCTAAAAGGATTACAGTCAAATTATAGGAAAAACAGATTTGTCAGACATTTCTTTTTAGTGCAGCTTGCAAAGCTACTTGGTTCTGAATCACCTATAAAGATGCAGTAGGAAAGACTCATTTTCACCGAATCCAGACCCTTCATCATTTATGTGTGGTATACTTGGATGCATAAGAAAATTGAGGCATAATGACATAATTGTTTTGCTCTCTAATTTAGCTGGTCCTAATTTTTATGAGCTCAAAACAAGACTGTCATCTATTGTTGCTTATTTCTAGAAAAACATCGTCTTCAATCCACCCGAGCCGAGGTCGTTTGAGGAAGCCATCGATTACGCAAACATGATGGTCGAACAGAAACGACGACGGGCACTAATCGAAGAGGCATGCACAGCTGCTAATATGTCCCGCCAAATCGATCTAGACCATAAAGGCAGTGTCTTTAAGAGCGTGGGGCATCTTCTGGTTGATGACAAGTATAAGGTCCTCTTCGGTTTCATTCCAAAGGTCGGATGTACCACGTGGAAGGGTATCATTGGAAAGCTACATAGGAAACATAAAAACGATTTAGCAAAAATAAGCACTTTGAGGAATTTCGGCGACAATCATACTGAAATTTACTACCGCCTACAGAATTACAGGAAAGTCTTATTTGTTCGAGAGCCAATTACCCGAATGTTGTCTGGCTACCTTAGTAAGTTAAGGAATTTAAAAAATCTCCAGAGGACTTGGGAACAATTTATCGGAAAATCAATCGTGAAAAGGTACCGAGGATATAACCATGTAGAAAGATATGAAGATGAAATAATCAAACCGTGGATGAATATCACCTTGTCAGAATACATTCAATATATTACGGACATCGGAAGCAATATCCACATGGGTGAACTCAATGACCATTGGCTTCCTCTTCACGTGGTGTCAAACCCTTGTCAAATCCACTATGACTTTATCGGTCACTATGAGAACATGGCAGTCGAAGGACCCTTTGTTCTCAGGTGGCTTGGGGTAAATAACCTGATATCATTCCCCCCAGTGCATGAGTCACACGCTTCTAACGCACTGATCAGAGAATATTCAGAAATATCCCTCAGTTTTCTTAAAAGAATATCGACATACTATTCGTTTGATTACAAAGCATTCGGATATCATATCAATGAAACACTATCGATTTTGATGAAAGGTATATTCGATGAGAAAGAAGATGACTAGTACATGGATCCTAAATAAAAAATAAAAATCATGATGAGAATTGTTAATCTTCTATCTTTTCAATTCAATATATGTATATTATATATGAATCTATACGCGAATGTGTGTGTGTGTGTGTGTGTGTGTGTGTGTGTGTGTGTGTGTGTGTATTATTCATTAGATCGAAGATTAAAAGATGATTTTAATTATAAAGAAATTCTAAGTAAAATTTTTTAAAATGCTTGTATGGTGGAAACAAAGAGATTTAACTATTATGGGTAAAATACATTTGCTAAAAACTAAAATTAAATTATATTTCATCTCTCGTTATTGTCCCTCATTGGGTATACAAAGAAGTTGCAAAAATTTCATTTGAATTTATATGGAGGGGGAAAGATAGAATTAAACGGGCAATAATGTATCAGGATTATGACTTTGGAGGATTAAGAATGATTAATTTTGAAATGTCCGTTAAAATATAGCGCATAATGTGGATAAAACGTCTTTTATATGGAGACAAAAGTTTGGGATGGAAATTGTTTTTGATCATTGCTTACAGTTTGTGGGTGGTAGATTTATTTTTGTATGTGATTATGATTTAAAAAAGATTAAACTCGTTTTAGATATTCCACCATACTATATGGAAATGTTGCAAGCATGGCAAGAGACAAGTAATTTAAGATATTTGGAGGGTTATATTGATCCAATTATTTTTGATAATCAGAATATATGTATAAATGGAAAAAGTATATTTGATAGATACTTGTTTGAAAGAGGGATTGTTCAACTGAATCATTTGGTTGAGAAAGGTCATGTTAAGTCTGTTAAATATTTTATGAACCTCGGTATGAAAGGTAATAATTTGCTTATGATTATTGATATTTATGATGCGATACCCAGGTTATGGAAGGATGATTCAGGGTTAATAGAATTCCTCGAGGTTGATTTGATAAGCTTTAATACTTATTTCCATATTTCTAGTAAAAAAATACAGTTTGTGGATGTGGGTTCAAGAACAATCTATGATTATTTTATCAAAGCACTGCAACAAACGTATGATTTGCAGGTAAGGGATGGGCAAAATGATTATGATTTTATAGATAAAGAATTAAAAGAAATATTTGTTAGACCAAGAATTACTATACTCATTAGAAAACAACGTGAATTTCAATTTAAATTATTGCATGGAGCCGTATACACTAATGAGCATCTTCATAGATTTGGTTTTGTTGGTGATAATTTATGTTCGTTTTGTAAGCAGGAAATAGAGACATACAAACATTTATTTTTATCTTGTGGGAGCGTTCAAAGGATATGGCAGGCTTTAATACAACTTTTTGAGTTAGATGAAATTAAAGATTTAGAATGGCGAGATATATTTGTTGGGTTGGTAGGTAGTTCATATAGAATAAAAATGTGTAATACTATCATTTTCATGGTGAAGTATGTTACATTTATGTCAAGATCGGGGGGGGGGGGGCGAGTACTAACTTTAGAAAAGATGAAAAAAAGCATTTTTAAGTATAGGGATGAGGAAAAGAAAATAGCAATTAAAATGGGAAAGCTGGGATCACATTTTTGAAAGTGGGAGTAGCTTAAGATTAATTAAGATTTGTTTTCTTCTCCACCGTGAGCCTGTTAAAAGCGTAACTCGATTTTGCGGCCTGGATAACTTATTTAGTATATTTTTCTTGAGTTGGGAATGTTGGCAGACATCCACTGAGTGAGTAGTGTGTGTGTGTGTGGGGGGGGGGGGGTGGGTGGGTGGGTGAATATGTGTGTGGGTGGGTGAGTATGTGTGTGGGTGGGTGAGTATGTTTGTGTGATAGAGGGTGAGTATGTTTGTGTGATGGAGGGGGCAGGGAGGGGGCAGGGCGGGGGCAGGATTGTTTCAGTAAAATTACCTCCAGATTTGTTTAAGTTGTTTTTGTTGTAATATATAAGTGAATAACATTTACAATTGACATATTATGTTTAGGTACTTATACGTTTACTTTGTTGCTAAGTTATATTATACTGCAAATAAGTTTGTGTTTAATTATGTTTATGTAAAAGCATCAATATTGAACAAGTTTATTTTATTCAATTGTATGTCATGGTTTGTATTACACATTAATTTGGAGAAATAAAACAAAATTGTTTAAAAAAAATTAAAAAGTGTATTCATTATGATAGGAAATGAAAGTGCGAGACTTATATCTAGCCCTGTCAACAAATATTGACATTACTGTATGCAGACGATACAATAGTTCTTGTGTAAACTGAAAGTGATCTTCAACTTGCTCTTGATCCGGTATCTGATTGCTGTTAAAATGGTTTCTTCAAGGCAACACAGCTAAAACCAAAGTTGTTGTATTTTTCGTTGTAAAGTTCGAAACATTTCAACATGTAAATTTGATGATGATATTGTACAAGTTGATGATGAATATATACGTATATCTTGGAACTACTTTTAACTACAACAATAATTTTCGTAAAGCACAAATTAAGCGACTCAATCAAGCTAGACGAGCAATGTATAGTTAATTGCATTGACCTATTGATATCCTCTTGGAATTATTTGATCAACTTGTGTTGTCTATTGATCTGCTCTATGGAAGTGAGATATGGGAATTTAAAGAGCTACGTGATCTTCAAATTTTCCACATGAAATTTTGTAAGCAAGCCTTTTCTGCGTGCAAAAAAACTGCGAATTGAATGGTACTTGGAGGCTGAAACTTGAGAAATATATCGAAAGCAGAATGATAAACTTCTGGTGTAGGATTGTACATAGTGGACAAGATAAGGTTTCTGGTAATATGTACATTGTAAAATGACTCTTTAAGGAGCATGCCTATCAATCACCTTCATTTGGTTGAAACAAATCAGGCTGAACCCGGACAATATAGGGATGTCTAAGTTATGGGAAATTTGTGAAAATAATAATTGTGATTGGGTCCAAAAAACTGTGGAACGACGATTGAAAGATTCTCATGCCCGGTATTGGTTTTCTTGTATGTACCATAATTCACACTGTTAACTATCGAATCTTCAAACATATGTTAAGAATGATACTTATTCGATTTCATTTAAAAGAGATCGGACAAGTTTAAGCCGTTTTCGCTGTCGCTGTCATCAGATGCCGATCGTATATGGTAGATATTCAAATACTCTCAGGGAAATGAGGTTGTTTAGGCTACTCTCTGCCATTTGCAATAACCTGGGGACAAGTTCTATTACTTTTTAGTGGGCCATGCCTTTCTTTCAAGACAGAAGATTGTTCTTCGACAAATATTTTATTGAAAGATGGAATAAAATGAAAAGGGATCAACTTTTTAATTCAGATAATGCACAAACACGCTTAAACAGGGTAAAATTCTTCAAAACAATGATGCTTCTTTTCCATCAATTTAAGCAGGTATACATAAATTGGTATTAGTTTAATATTATCTTCATATTTCTATGTTTTGTCTTATATCAAATTATCATTAATTAAAATGGCAATTTACTGGTGTCAGTAATTTTTTTTGTTTAATTGCTTCCATTAATGTTGTCATTAATTGATATTATAATTATCATTATATTTCTTATCATTATTATTGTTACAATTGTTATTATCATTATCATTATTATTATTAAAAAATGTTCACTATCGTCGTTAATGATATTGTTATCGATTAATATTAATTGATTTTAATCGTATACTGTACAGTGTTACATTGACAAATTCAAACTGATTGTAAACTTCTTCGATACCCCAATGTGGATAACATAAGAATAAATTGCCATAGTCCTTGTCATCTTCATAAAAGGCGCAAAGAAAGAGATACAGAACACGAATAATTACGTCACAAAGAGATAAGGCAGACGGTAAGAATAGGCACGTGCGATGGAATGTGGAATGACGTAATGACACGTCGTAAAGAACCAAAGGAGGACAAAAAATGAAAGCACATGACAAAGGACGTGACCAACATGTCAGTAGAGTAGAAAGAAAGCATAGAATATATATGTAGAGAGAGAGAGAGAGAGAGAGACAAAGAGAGAGACAGAGAGAGGCAGAAAGAAAGAGGGTAAGAAGGGACGGGGCATATAATAATCAAAACAATTGAAATACCAATATCCTTGAGAGAGTTCTCTTCTTTGCTATGACCGGTTTCAAATAATGGTATGTATGTTTAAATTTTTATCTGAAAAACGGCTTTTGCTGAATGCGGGCACAATTATTGTATTTGTTTTTAACCGTAAATAAATAAAATATACCATACCATATGTATGCGTGTGTGTGTGTGTGTGTGTGTGCGCGTTGTAACTGTAGTGGTGTGCATGCGTGTGTATGTACGTGTGGGTACGCTCCCCCTCCCACAAACAAAAACAATACTTGATAGTGTAGCAATGTCATTTATTACGATGATACTCTCATTCTGTGTGAGACTCAATGTGATTAACAAATTGAGCATTTAACGAGTCATCCATAATTCATCATTATTATTTAAAGATAAAGTTGAGTTCTGTTTATGCGAATGCATTGTGAAAGAAACGTTTTGGAATCGATCAGAAAAGGTTGATCATCTAGTATCTTTTTTTTAATATTTATGTGAGATCATCTAGCATCTTAGTATTAATTGGTGTGAACTGCAAGGTTCAGGAATTATCAAAATGATAAGAAATTTGGCCCTGTCTTGGTAAAGTTTGAAGAACTGTACACGGACAGATGTCGAGCATTTGGTATAAAAATCCGTCCCGATTTTTATGATGTTACATGCCATATTTACAATATTAAGGCATTTGAATTAAGTGCCATGCTTTTTAGTGAACATTTTGTATCTGATGTTCTTCCACACATGCATAGTACAATGATAACGCTCACAAATTATTTTGCATCTCTTCCCAGAACTCAACCTCCTCTTTAAAGATTAAACAACACATAATAATGGAGATAAGTTAAACACATGCACATACCTATCCCTCGTCACTATAATATTAGGATTGAATAATGGCGCTTTTCCTTCCCATCCAAGCTATCGAGAGTAAACATGTTTTTATAACGCATTTTCTTCTGGATTTAATGTTTCTTTGGAGGGATCAAATCCGCATATAAAGAAACATGGATGTTTGAAACGATGAATTATGGCCAATGCGGCTGAAGTCAAAGACTAGTTCTCTGCTCTAACATGTAGCATAATTATGTAAGTACAACATAAAATCAATCAGAGTTAAATGAAGTCGATTTTGAAAAGTAACTTTTGTACTCAGACATGTTAACTGGAAAAAAATATCGAACTCTTCAAAAGATATAGTTGGTACAAATTAAGACACCAAGAAACCTATTCGAAAATATAAAATATTACGTTGAACCATTTACAGGCACTGTGATATAAGGCACGATGATTTACATTCTATGGGGGACCATACTTGAGAAGTAGAAACATCAGAAATGAGTAGCCCATTAATTTAAAAATATGAAATAAACTTGGGAGGGGGGGGGGGTCCGCCGATTAATTTGGAGAGTTTTGATTCTTAGTAATAAACATCTTCTCTACAAAATAATACATTAGGAAAATTTAGGATTTAAGCTGGGAACAAATAGGCAAGGATCACCAAGGACCAAGGAAGAGATGGAAGGTGACATCCTAGTAGACGGCACCTACCAGAAGGCAAACAGAATTGATCAAGATAGAAAATGGTTTGAATATTTTTGTGGAGCCAACGTCCTTAAGGACATGGTGACTGCTAAGCTAAGTGTGTGTGTGTGTGGGGGGGGGGGTGAGTTGGCGAATGTGTTATGGTAAGTACGGTAGCAATGAATGGCTGATTATTCTCAGCATTTTTTTTATACTCTCAAATGTCATCCAAATGCAGTTGTGCAACCTTCCATTCGATCGTTTGTTTGGTAATATTTGACATCTAACCCACATCATGGTCGCAAGGCACAATTTTGACAAAGGGAAGTTGGTGGCTGACGTTGCAGGTCAGAGTATCAACATTTTAGTTAAGGTTTTTCAAATCTTTGAAAGCGATCGAAATAGACACAGTACTACATTGGTTTATTATCAACATTTAGTAATTACGATATAACAAACATACACATTTACAAGTAGGGCCATCTCATTGTCTGCATATGATTGCTGGCTGCATTCAATTATTTCACACTTTCGAAGTTGGGTCTCGAGCCACCCCCGTGGCAAAACTGAATATCCACATAACAATGCAATGTAATATTTAGTTTTCTTACAATTATTTGACGAAAAATAAGATGAAATCCAGTTTCATTGTAATGAGATATATTCGACATCTCCTTACGTAAATGATAAGAAACGTTGAGTTAGAAAAATGTATGTCCATATCGAAAGTCCATAGTATACTAATAAAACATATATTTGGTAGAATAATTTCACCATCTTCATCTCCTGAGGGAGTGGTTCGTTATCTTGTGTGTTCTGACATTGTGTCCTGGTGTTCAACAGTGCTCCCTTGGAATGGCAGGTCACCCTCTACCCATATCATGGCGTCTTCGCCCTGTGTTTCATGAGGAGGAACTATAACATCGTCACCATTAGTGGACAACCCGGGCGCTGAGGTTATTTCTAATTGTTTGTGATCGCCCATGCTACCGGATGAATTACTAAATTCATCGAAGACGGAGGCTTCTAAGTTACTCGTCATAATATCGACGTTCATGATCACGCTATTGTCCCATTGGCTTTCATGATCGACAGACGGCGATGTCGGAGGAGCTAGCGGTATTGCGTTTTGATTTGGTATTGATAAACTTCGAACTAAACCTTCGGGTCTTCCATAGCCACTGTTATCGCTATTGCTTTCACTCGCATCTTCATGAATTACAGTCGAGTTTGGAACGCTTCCCTCGTGGATTCTATTCAAAGAATTTGCACTTGATGAAGAGAAGCTAGGTTGTCTTCCCGAAGAGCTCCGCAATCGTGCACTGCTAAGCGATGACAGATCTTCTTCTATGGCCGAGAGTTGCCGTGCTCTCTCCAGTTCACTCTTGAATTGTTTTGTCTTATTTGTGAATCTTTTGCGTGTCCTCAACAATGTGAACTCCTCAGATTCAACCTGTTTTTGTCGTTTTGCCTCTTTTTGCGATTTCTTCAAGTTCAGTATTTCACTTTTAGACGATGTCCGATCGAGAGTCTGCTCGTTGGGTGTTCGTTGTTGAGGGTCAGTCTTTGTTACAGCTTCTACACAATCTTCGGTGGGTCCTTCTGAACCATTCGCTGGGTAAACAGACTGGATAGGTGGCAAGGGATGTAATGTTTGCATGGTCATTTCTTCTACCGTTTTATTTGACGGCACCTGGTGTTGGAACTCGAAACGAGCTTCAGCCAGCTTATTGGCATGTTGCAATTGCAGTCGGTAATTGGTCACTGAACGGTCTTCGGCCTCGGGAAGAACATTTGGCTGGTGCACGGTATCCAATGCAGGGCGCCACGTTTTGAGCTCAGAAGGTGACTTGTTGCCGCTGACTGGTGGTAAGATCTGACTCGTGACCACTGGGTTCAGCTTGACCCTGGTCTCAGAGGTACCGAAATCATCTGTGGTCTTTAGACGATCCCGCCTTCGTCCTCTAGGTTGACTTTGAGTTTCGTCCCCTCCGTTACGTTGCAGAACAAGTACAAACGGACCTTTGTCATCTCTGTCACTTCGTTGTATAGGCTTCATTTTCACGATTTTCCTTTTATAACAAAAATCAGTTATAAATAATCAAATTATATTCATAACACAATGAATCATGCACAACAAGAATGTCCTTAATAGCTATGATATTGAGAAATACTCGAATTGGGGAACAATAAAAGAACATTTAGATAAGACGGCATTATTGTAAAATCCAAGTAGAGAAGTGTGTATAAATAGCTGTGGCAATCCTATCAATATCTGCGCTTGCAAATACAAAATATTTTATTCTTAGATCAATATTCAAATACCTAATTGTACATATTTCGCTTCTCAAATAATTGAATATTCAAGTATAAATGAAATGGAATGAAAATAACTGGTAATCGAATGAAAGTGTATCTTTGGGAGCATATCAACGGAATAACAAAAAAAAGAGGAAATAACATATACTCACTTTACGTGCGAACTTTGTTGCATTGCGTAGGGGGCGACAGGTGGTTTGTAGGCCCTATGTTAATAAAATAATAAAACACAGATAATGTTACATGCCACTGCTTTCATTGTATATACTTCTTTCTCTTTCATTTATCTATTTCTTTGAATGTATGTGTTTTAGAAAGGTTCACTCGTCATCATTATCACAACCTCTACCATCTTTACCACACCACAACCATCATCACCAACATCAAAACCATCACCATCACCACCATCACCACCACAATCCCCAGTAATCATTACCATCATTACAATTACCATCATCACCGTCACCACCACCATCACCATCACCATCACCATCACCATCACAATCACCACCACTATTACCACCTTGAGTATTAAAAGCATAGTGTGAAGTCATCACGCCCCTGCGTCACTGTGAGACTCTTTCGGACCGTCAAAGGTCACTCCACGAACTCCCAAGTTATCTGTTAAACTCGACCTTTCATGAGTTCGCGGAGTGTGAGTGACTTGGACGGTATTAGTAAAGAGCCTCACATAGACGCAGAAGCGTGATCACTCATTACCGCGCTTATCTCAAGTTATTTCTACCCCCACCGCCACCACCGCCACCGCCATCACCACCGCTACCACCACCACCACCACCACCACCACCACCACCATCGTCATCATTACCTGATGGTCATCGGGGAGACTTTTGATTCATGACCAAAATGTTGCTCCTTGCGATGCCAGACCCTGTCTACAAGTTCCTGCAGTGGTACCGTCTGGTTAGTGCTGATCTTGGCTTGTTTGCTATTTTCTGTTGATTGCATCCCCGTCAAGGTGTTGTATCTGTCCTGCTGGGTACGCCTGGAATACAGAGTACGTTTACACATACAACATGATATTAACAAAAACAGGTTCGCAAAGACTTTAGATAAAGCAACTCGAGGGCATTTCAATACCCGTATGAATAGAAATTATTTTCACATTACGCAATATAATATTGTAAGGTTCGTAATGATAATAAGCGATGGGCAAGGCTACTATCTTGCCTAAAGATTCATATATCGAAAGGGATTTATACTTGATAATTAAGTTGGTTTTGATATTTGAAGGTTCGAGCTCCTCTGCAATTTAGTGCTCTGTGTAGTCCAGAATCTGGCCTATTTAATTTTGATCTCCACCACACCAACGCTAGCCTCTCCCTACTTACTTGCTCCCAGCCGATGATGGCGTGATCATTAAATTAGGACGCCCGGCGAGGCTGGGCTGGAGAGCATAATTATCAGTTTGTTGATAACGCCATCTTTGACGGCTTGAATCAAGTGTAGGGAAATTATAGAGGACCGTGCAGATTCTGGACTATGCTCTGTGTAGAAAATTTCATGCACGTTTTATTTATTAGTTACTGGTGACGGAATAGGTTTGTTTCATGCAGGGGTTGTTCTCAATAATTATGCTTGGCGTGAATGTATGATTGAACATTTTCTTATTAAGCCACGGACATGTGACCGATTGATCTACTGATTACTATTATTCACCGATCCGAGGATTTGAATTATGCTGAACAGAGACAATTTGGGACTAAACTAGACCTTAGTTTGACTTTGATTTATTGAAGTAGACTTAAAGGTCAAGTCCACTCCAAAAAAACTTATTTTCAATAGAAGCAGGAAATCAGACAAACCAGTCCAAAAAAAATTGAGCAAAATCGGATAACTAATAAGAATTAGTTATGAATTTTTAATGACACAAAAAACTTTGAAATCACAAGACAAATTGGCAACTCACTCATGAGTCTGTGACGTCATTGCCTCACTATCCACTATTTATATTGATAATATATTTCCAATTTTTCCAAAACAATCTTATTTCCTCACACCAGCATCCAAGGTTTTGTGTGCATATATGAATATAGAGTAATTTTGTTCAGTTAAATCATACAAAATGTGAATTTCGATAAAACTATTTATATCAAAATCAATAACTACGAATATACAATATTCAGAAAATAATATCAAATCTTCAAGTTAGTAACATATTTTGTGAGATGTCATGCACGCAATATGATACAAATCATATAACCTGGGCAAAGGCATGGGGAAATCAAGGTTTGGGGGATAAAAAGGGAAAGAAATGGGATTAAAGTCTATAAAGCAATTGATAATAGTGAAGCAATGACGTCACAAACTGATAACTAATGATTGGAAATTTGTGTATAGTGATTTTCTTAAATGAAAGCTTGAACTCAAGAGCATCAAAACCCGGAAATAATATCTCACGAAAAACAGAAGATGACTCGATGACGTCAGGATAATGATAGAGGTTGCTTCTTCACGTGTGTTTAAGGGCTGGCAACATGGTATGTGTATCACTTAGTTGTTTTGTTTTATAGTCTTATATTCGAATTACATACGAATTACAAATAATTATCGAACAGCTCTATTATTTCATTGAATCTGTATTAGTAATTAGCTAAATCAATTTGAAATAAGCTTTATAATTATTGTCAAATATAATGCTTAAATGATTTGTGAAATTTAACTTGTAAACTTCTTCAAAATCAAATCGCCGTTTTGTCCGGATACGTACACATCCTGTCGGGACACACACCATCTTGTACCTGGGTACTGTAGTACTGCAAAGACATGGTATTATGGTACATGTGTTCTCAGGTCGAGCGATATTATAGATCTATATAGTATACTGTTACTATACGTATACCGATTAACGGACTTTTGAAAACCCTACTACATATATTATCAAATTCACCCCCTTTAATTTTCAGATTTAGGATATAGTTGTAAAATTCAAAACGATTCAAAACTTTCATAAACTTTCGCAAAATTTCTCAAACTATTACTCGCGCACAATTGTTATTTGCATGGCAGGGCGGTTGCGACGTACGTACAATCGACCTGACTGCTCTACCTAGGGTGACGTCATCATGATAGCGGTTTATTTGGCATCTGATTACCCCTAATTCGAGGGGGCTGTAAATGAAGTCTTTATCTGCTTATTGTTCAATAACGAATGAAGCATACGTTTTATGTGTATGTGTTTTATCCTACGTCCAATCAGCTTTCCATTGATGTATAGTTGTATTTTCATCTTCTTTGAGATAGGTACATGTACCATTGATTTCAATCAAACTTTTCAAAAAGAAAATCGGTCATGCTCTTTTTATTATGAATTGCTAAAGGCATGAAAAGACACACTCTTCCATTAGGGTCTGGACTAAATGTCTCAGCTTTACGCCCGAAGATATGGCAACACATTTACTCTGGTTTTAAATTTGCTACCAAGGGTAAAACTTTAACAAAAACTAAAAAATCAATGCATTTACCGATTTAAAACATGATGTAGGTGTCATACTGTACGGTGATCTGACACACCAACATTTGATCTGGGCTTTATCATGTTTATTTTCGTCAAGGATATGTGAGTAGGGTTGAAAATTGTGTTTTATGCTAAGTTTAGGGTTGTGTTTTAGGTTAGGTATAGTGTGTAGTTTATTGTTGGAGATAAGAATTCGGTGGGTGTAGAGCTAATAACCACGGAGCTATATATTGTCGCTGGAGCATGTGCCATAAAACCATACCTTACACTCTTTTTCATTGGCGTGTTTTGTTAATCATTATGATGAGTGAGAACGTAATTAGCAAACCTACCAGAAATTATTTCCTTGAAGATCCCTAGGGGTAACTTCCATGGAGGATGAATGCTTCATCCTGGGTGAAAGACTGGTATCCCCACTTCCTTCCAGGATTGAACTGCTTCGCTTGCTGTGGATCAGGGTAGATGAGTTACCATTCCCTGTAGGAATGCAGAGTAATTCAGAAATAAAGGAGATTCGTGAAATGAGATATATGGTAGAAATAAAACCCTATGTATATATAAGAATGATTAGATCATCGAAACAAATAGTTGAAACTGTTCGTAATTTTAGGGGGGACATCTTATATTTCCTCCAAAGCAAATAAATATTCCTTCATTTTTGAATAAAATTGAGGCTCTGTTTGTGGTTGGTACAAGAAAACACTTCATGTGCATCGGTTTTATCTGCACTGAATTATTTTCACAATATTGTCTTTTAATTGACACATTCACAATTTGGTGTACGTTATATTTTAATAATGGCATTGTATAACTAATTTTTAAAGTCGATTCCAATTTGTAATTTATATATTTCTGTGTGGTTATCTTATCAACTCAAACGTAATTATGTTAATTCAGGTTTTAAGGCTTTTATCGTTGCCTATCTTCAAAATATTTTTCCCCCTTTTTTCTTTGATTGTTTGGTTGCTCAACATTATTTTTGTCTGTTTATCTGCTACCATTACCATATATCAGTTTAGTAATTTGATGATCCTGACCCTACTTTCTCTTAGTTTATTTTGGTATTGTATTGATGGAATTGAATTATTTTTGTCATCTTTATTTCGTATTGTACTTGTCATACCTTTCGTTTGGCTCACTATTGTATATTTACTTTATTTATAACCGTATTGTATAATTTGTAAACATGAACAGTTTTGGTCCTTGGACCTTTGAATCATGTATATTTATATGTCTTTTTAAACCGAAATAAATAAAAAATAAATAAATAAATAAATTGTTTTCAATATATTGAAACAATTTGGTCAGGGTTAATTTCACCTCGGTGTTGTTTCAAAACTTGTCGATGACACAATCATGATGACAAGAAAAGGTCAAATCAGATCCCTGATTGTCTAATTATAGGCATTGGAAATGGTAGCTTCATTATGTTTTATCATACTGATAATATTTATTCTTACTAAAGACATTAACAAAAACTTGGGAAAACTTACCGTTTATCCGTTGTCGCATTCTAGTTCGCAACTGTTCTTGAGCTTTGTCACGCTGTAAAAAAAATGGGTAGATAAACGTTTTTAATCAATTTGAAATGAAATTTGATATGAAATCTGTTAATGAAATATTACCTTTCGAGATTATAATTATATGCCACGTATACATCGACAACCTGTAAGATTCTGATGAATATATGATGAAAAGTATAGTTCAAATGCACTTACGGGCAATTCCAGATTAAGATAAGATAAACATCTATAGCGATCAGCGTATGAAGATAAATCGAAATTAAACGCAGAGATGCTCCTTAGTTTTCCCTCGCTCATTCTTCTATCCCTTGTCCTAATCAACCATGTATCTCTAATATGTTCAATTAACGCCATCGTAAGTCCACAGTTATGATTTCTGATTCTCATTCCTTTCTAGAATCTAGAGTGATGTATGTTGTTCATTTGGAGTGAAAATCGAGTCCAACAAGCAGCTAGCTAGTTCCAACACCACTGATGTTATAAAAAATCGATGAGATAGGAATTTGACTTCGACAGCTCAGTGAATCTCATCGATCGAGTACACGTCAACAACAAACAACCTAAACCACTGGACATAATGTCAGTGAGAATTCGCTAGGTAATCCATGTTTTATACATCTGGCCTTTGCTATAAAAAAATGATCTAAATCGAAAACCGCAAGTAACATTAAATCAGAAGGATAGCCTGCCTTTCATTATAACATTGAAGGACGATTTAGCATTATAGCTTGATTAATGAAATAAAAGTTGATTAGGCGAAACCGAACAAAATGAGTAGTCTATTTTGTGTTACATTAGGTTTTAAATTACACATAAAAATGTTTATGATGGACGCGCCTAATTTATTTTAAATGACTTGAAAATTGTATTTTTTACTGCTATATTTAAGTCAAAGTGGAGAAACTTGGAAAATGCCGGTTGAACTGTATTTTTCACCCTAACGATGTCCCTAAACTCCTATCAGCAGGTTAATTATTGTCATGCAGTTTCGGTCAACTGCATGCAGGGGCGTACGCAGGGGGGGGGGGGGTTTGGGGGTTCAAACCCCCCCCCCTTTGGTATTTTTTATGTATGTAACCCCCCTAAAAAAAACCTAAACCCCCCCCCCCCCCCTTTGGCTTTTTTTTTTTTTTTTTTTAATTATAAAAAATAAAAAAATAAAAAATAAAAATTATACCCGCGGCTAACCAAAATAAGGTGACCTTACCCCCCCCCCCCCACGAAAAAAAATGTCAAATTTTGAAATTTTGAGACCAAAAAAAAAAAAAAAGTGTCCGCTTACCCCCCCCCCCCCCCCTCCCCCCCCCCCCCCCCCCCCCCCCCCCCCCCTCCCCCCCCCCCTCCCCCCCCCCCTCCCCCCCCCTCCCCCCCCCCCCACTGAGCGACTTTTCGGCCGGCTGAGTCGTTGCGATTTTTTTTAGACCTCCAAAAAAAAAAAAAAAAAAGTGTCCGCTTACCCCCCCCCCCCCCCCCCCCCCCCCCCCCCCCCCCCTGAGCGACTTTTCGGCCGGCGCGATTTTCAAATTTTCGGGAGCAAAATATTTTAAACCCCCCCCCCCCCCCCCCTTGAAAAAATCCTGCGTACGCCCCTGACTGCATGCAAGACGAGGTTACACTACTAAATCACCTTCGGGAATTGCGCATTCATTTATTTTTGTTCGTTTGTTTGTTTGGTTTCTTCTTCAAAAGATGTATTGTGAGCCGTGTCTACTTAAACTAGTGGAAGGGATATGTGTCTTCTAACGCTCAAAGTTAAGATTAAGAAGTGTTAAAATTCGATACGATTTGCTCATAAAAATAGCTATATTTCATTCAATTGCATGACGGGGCATTGTATTCATAATACCCCAAAGTGAACATTTTCAAGCAACAGTCGGACGGTATGATCATAAACCGAGCACACATGTGTAAGGACCATGGTACGATCGTTTAGAGTATGTAAAAACACGACACTGCTAAACCTGTCATCTCATTATTGTGAACTTTAGTCTGGTTTCTTTGTTTGTGTGTTTGTTTTATTTGTTCTTTATTGATAATCTTCCCACCAATGATCATCGTAGCTCTATCTAAATCTTAGATTATATTATCTTTCAAAATTCAAAGTGACAAAGCCATTTTTATCATCTTTTTTAATCATGAAAAAGGAATGTCTAAAACCACTATTTTTTACTAAAGGCACCTTTTTGCCGCATCAATTTTAAGATACAACCGAGTTCAATCGCATTTTAAAATATACTGGAAGCAATTTGGAAAGGTGATACTATTTCATAAAAATTGCTATTTAAAAAAAATAGAAATTGACCTATTCTTGCTAAAAGTCAAAAGCACTGTACACAGACATGTGTATGTGTGACTAAACACACATGTCGCAATAAATTTTGGTCCAACCTTCAGCTATTTCTCATCATGAGTTTTTCGAACGTGATGGTAAGACTTATACATTTCTTCTTTGACATTCTTCCACAAAGAATTGTTTTAAGAGTTGCAAAGCTCAAGTTTTACTTTTCATTTTTACCTAAACTCGATCTTCTTTTAAAATTCTATCGACTTCTATAGAATCAATGCAAAACACGACACCCTAAGCACACTGACCTAGCGAACGTCGAGTATTCAAATCTACCACACAGCCCCCAGCAACCAGCTGATTTATCAAACCGATATTTGATAGTTGGAATAAATCAATTCGTTATCACTGTTATCACCTCAGTATAGTGACAAGTGTCCCTCAAGAGTATGGAATGGGATAAGAGTTCGCGAAGACGCACCGGGAGGTAAGGATGCCGGGTGATATAGGTCGCCAATGACCACAAAACTTCCCCCCTACATGCACTTGATCTCATTTAGCAGACCGTAATACGTCAGTGACCTTTGTCTGTGACACACATACGTGCACACAGGCACACTCTTCAAACTCCCATCCCTCTCATACTCCCTTTGTGATGGTAGGGGGAGGGAAGTTAGGGACAGAGGTAAATTAACACTGGTATTGAAAGTGAAAATTGTGTGAGCTTTCGCGTTCTGTCTTATGTGTGCGTGTTTGTTTGTGTGGGTAATTTTAAACTTCAGACTTTATTTTCATGCCAAATGTAACACGATCATAATTAATTAATTAATTTCCAATGCCTTGTGCTTCACCTATTGAAATGTGCGAGCATTACCATTTTATTCTACGTAATCCGTGCTTTATATCAAGTGAACATATAATTACACCAGGGTACGTATTGGAACTACCCTTGAATTTATTTTTCGAAATTAGTTTTTGGAATTATAATAGAAATGTGATGAATAAAGTGAAAAGTTTCTGATTCATATTGGGGTACTATACCTCGAGATAATAGACCGACACAAGGCAAAACAAACAATTCAATTATCCGGCCAAATGGTTGATAACAATATTTGTCGTTTTGAGTTTGCTTGGTAGTCTCGTTGGTGATACGAGTTCGGTAATATTCTGCAGACATTCAAAAATGGACTGATGACGACATCGACCCTTAACCCTATTTAGCCCGGGCTATTTTGAAACTGCATAGCCCAGGGGGGGCTTCTCAGGCCCCCCCTATGATCTCGGCCGTGAAACGCCCGATCGCCGCGAAAATTTGCATACATGTCAAGTGAAGTGTATAGAATACTATGGTAATTTCAATTTTTTGAAAAATTCACTCATTTGCATATTTATGGTAATTTATGCAAATAAGGTCATAAAATTCACATTTTTGCCCATAAATCAGACATTATTCATATTTAAGCATTCTTTCTCACTACATATATTTGTTAGACCATTTGGAATAATAATACAACACAAAAAATTGAAAAACCAGGGTTATTCCTTATGTTATCTATTGTTTTGATAATTTCTTATGTATTTCTTTGTTTTTTTTAAGTTATGTATTTTATTGTTTTTGTTGTTTTATTTCATTTCCAACTATAATTCAACTATTTTGACCCAAAAATAAACACCTAAACTATAAACAAGACCAAATAACCAATGTTTTATCTCTTTATTTGAAAAATGAGATTTACATATGTTTTGTACACAAATCACAAAAATGAGCGATTTTCGGGCTGACATGCAAAGACAAAAGGACACGTGACTTCGTAATGGTAGGTCCGATTTCGAAAAATTTCTTTCAAAAGATGCGCAAGACTCGAAAGAAAAAAGTCACAAAATTTCAGTGCAAGATTTTCTTGCGTTAAAATATTATCGCGAAAAATGTCGAGGGGGGGGCTTCTCAAGCCCCCCCCCCGGGCTAAATAGGGTTAACCTGAGTCCCCTGCCCCCTCCCCCGCTAACGTACACAAGTGGAATATTTTACAGCAAAAAGTTCCTTTCACCTTTCGTTTTTGCGAAGACATCTTGTGACCGCCATCGTAATTTCTCGTCGCTGGTCCGGCAAGCTGATGATAGAGGTAGGGAGAGAGAGAGAAAAAAAAATGCAAATTATCAAAAATTAATTCAATGCATGGTAAATGAAAGAAACTTTAGTACGTTTGATTTTCCTTTGGTCCTAGTTTCCCCATTTCATTCAAACGCATGAATCCTTCCTGATAATGAGAGAATAACTAAAACTTCGGTCCAAGCTGATGAGAGAGAAAAAGAGTGCCATACTGAATTGACAAAGAATGAAACCACTGCATGACAAACGATGTAAAGTGGATGGATGTTCCTTCGGTCTAAACTCTAATCATGTTGACCCTATTTCATCCAGACCCATAAATACATTCATTGGAATCATTATAAACTGATTAAATAAACTTGCTACACTTATGAGACAAGACAAATTCAACATGTATGTGCTTCCCCCCCCCCCCATCCCCCATATTGCCCGGGACGGCAGTTACTCAATCTAATGTTCTACCAGTCATAATTTGGAAATCAAATTACAGCAGCCCTACAAGGAATTTTGGAAGTCAAAATGTCAGAATGAATTTGATTCCAAGTACTAACATGAAACGAAACATGCCCGTAGCACATTGAGAATTGAGATATAGCCGCAGCGTAAAGACCCACACGGAGTTTGTAACCCAAACATCCTGAGAAAATGCATCAAATCGTGACATTTCGGTAGCATTTAGGCAACTTATTGTCCACAGTAGCATGAAATAGTATCTTGAGTTCAACAAAGTTATTACAATAACCTGTATGTAAGAAGGACTCGTTTGAACAACTTTGAAAGCAGCTACAACTATGTTTTGTTTGTTTGTAATTTCATATCATTCTAACCTTGTTTTCTTTTCTCTTTCTCTCATCGCTAATCCACTGTTCTTATCCCCATCTCTAATTTTGCCTTATCTCACGTTTCTTCTGTTTTTATTTTCTTCTAATATATCACCCTCTCTCTCTCTCTCTCTCTCTCTCTCTCTCTCTCGCATGCTAAACTTTTTGCGTCTCATCATCATTTCTACCGGGGATCTTACATTATTCCCCCTCCTCATATAACACTTAAACCAAGGAGTTACAAGACCTTGATTCTACTTTTTTTCATACCTTGGCAAGAGTTTTTAGTTTGGCCAGTCTGTTGGTGTGAACGTCGGCTGACATGTTGGTGACACTTCGTCCTCAGACAACAAGATCGTTGGAAAACACCTTGAAGAAAGGTTCTACAATCAAACCAGACCAAGGAGATATTGACATGGTTGGGACTCCACAGTGGAAACGCAGATCATTTCTGATATCGTCAACCCCGAAGTGGTCAAGAGATAAAGCACACCGTTTATTATGTTGTTGTTGTTGGTGTAACTGATGTCAAATTTATCAAATTGATTCATCAGGTATCGCTTTTTACATAAGAGCCACAAGTCAATCAGTTTCTGTTCATCTGTCCATAGCGATATTTTTCTCTTAATTCTTTTTCGAGAAGGGAGAAACGAGATATCACAGAGCTGAGTACGATAGCGCTGTTGAAACGCAGAACACCTTCCGATATCATGTATATCGTCAACCTCATAAATGTTTTTTTTTTTTTAATGTGAATGTTTTTGTAGTTAATTAATGCCAAACTTATCAAATTCATTCTCTTTGTTTCTCTTTCACGTAAGAATCACAAGATTATCACGTTATGTTCGTCCATTCATTGCGATTTGTTCTCAAAATTCTTTGTAGAGAAACATGACACCAGTGGCGTTGTCGAACAAACAGCTTAAAGTATTAAAAGTAGACATGACAGACGTCCAGCAAAGCTTTCGTAATCACCTTTGGACTTCTTGATGAAAAGCTACTCCAAAATACCAGATCTGTCAAATAATTCCAAGTCCATTCGCACGCCAGTTTCACCATACAGCAATGTCAACTAAAAATGAATTAAAATCCGTTTTGCTGAGATTTCGTTAAAACGCCATGCCTTTGCAGCGGACGCATTGAAGGCATGGAGTCAGCTGCGGTGCTGTCTTGGTGATGGCGAAGCATGCAAACAAATCCTCTCATTTCACGTAATGTTGACAGTGCAATGATATACTGATTGTTACCGGCCTTATCGTTACTCTGAGTTCCGGCAAGTTCATCAATCCAAAGAGCAGTTTTTGACCTTATAGAATCATGGGAAAATGACGAGATCGAAGCGGCAATTTATGCCCCGGTGTAGAGGTACTGAGTCACCGGTTGTAGTTTTCTGGTAGTATCTGGCTTGTGGAATAGGTTAGGACTTGTAATTCATAAAAGGAGTGCGGACAATTTATCGATCGTGAATCCTTGCAGTCAGCCCCCTATTCTGGCTTCCTAACACAAGTTACGATTGTTCCATTGATTTTGCTCACCAAGCATCCCCGAAACTGGTATTCAATCATCCCACATTGTGTTTAGGCTCTCGTTGAAAACATGAAAGCCCCACACGCTGCCCCATTATTTTATCTTTCTATGAGGTGAATTCTAGAATAATGCGACCACCTCGTTGCTTCGAGGACACTGACATTATTTCCAAGGAACTTGTCTATCGGCCAAAAAAAAATAATTTCGCTGATCGAACTTTAATAATCATCTGAAGGTTTCTTTAAAAAGATATTTACGGGGGCGGCATCCTCTTAAGAATTCGTTTCACCCATTAATGAGCTACCTAAGATCAAACGATTTGTTAAAGTTGTCTTTTTGTATTCTAAAAATTATCGGTAAATACGTATAAATAAATGAAATGTCATTTAAGTTATAGAAAAGTCATAGAAAAAGATACCTGCAGTAGCCTTTACATTTCAATGTGTCATATATTATGTAGAACATTGCCAAGCATACCCCCTCCCCGCGTTCCTGAAAAAAGAGGTTTAAGCCCTCTCATTAGGCTTTTGTTCAAAAGTGGAAAAGAAGGAAAAAAGTGAATCTTTATTTGACTGTTTTGACAATTGATTTATTTAAAGGCAGACTTTACTACTTCAACCAGAAAGGATTATACCACACAGCGAGCCAGTGAGGTCACTGTGACAGGTGGCTATCTCATTAACTCAGCTCTCATTTAACATAAGAAAGAAGAGGATCATGGGGGACCAACAGGCACCGATTGGGGAAGTTTTCTATATAGAGGGAGCAAGTAGCTACAAGTAGGACAGTGTGCCTTTAAACAAAAATAAAAGCGGTTAGTTCAATGAATGATCAAACATGATTTCACTACGTTTGAACGTGTCATTTCTAGATTAAAAAATGCAGGAAAATAAATATCTATCCTTCAGATGAATAATTGCTTTACCTGAAAGATTATTTACCAGGCATTTTACCAATACAAATTGGGAAATTATACCTAGGTTTACCAGATTTCGTTAAGATAACTAGACAAAAAATACAATCTCTATTTTCTTCAGTGGAGAACATGCATACATGGTCATATTATGTTGCTATGGAACTTTGCCGGCGTAATGAAGCAGGTAAATTTGAAAATTTACGGTAAGGAATGAAAGAAAAATTAGAGGGAGAGGGAGAGGGGGGGGGGGGGGGGGGTAGGGGGTGGTGGTGGGCTAACAATGACCTAAAACCTTTTAAGCGTGGAGCCCATACGTCAATTTTCTATTGGAAACCAGGCGTGCTTAGCGAAGTGGGGAGAGAACAACGTAGCTCAATCGATATTATCCGTATGACGAAGAATACAAGAAAGGGGATACAATCGAAATTGCAGGCCAACTGGTGCAAAGGTTCTCCAACAATATTAGCTCATATTATAAACATGGTCTATTATACGATGCATCGATTGATTCATTCATTTTTAATATAAATTGGGCACAACAAAATAAATGTTAAAACACATCTCTCTCATGGTTCAAAATAAAAATGTCCCTTTCCCATTCGTTATATTGATTTCTTCCCATGTCGCCCTAAAAAACCCACCTCAACAAAACAAAAGTAAAGAAGAAATAATGCCAATTTCGATGATTAATTGTTAACTTAATATCAAAAGTGTCTTAACATTTTTGTACGATGAATTAGTGTTAGTTGACCGATTTCTTATCGTCATAATGATGACACTTGTCGAAAATACAACTTGTGCTCACACCGTATTAACTGATGATTTCGAAGCCATAAAGACATTAATCTTTGGAAGGTAAATACATCATTCGAGGAAGTTTATAACGCTATGAGAATTGCCTTTACATTAGACAATGTACGCTAGACATGGTAATACTCACCTTTCTTTTTATTGCCTACAGAGGGAAATTGTGTTTTTCTCCGCTACCTCTTTTTTCTCAAGACATTAATACATTCACGTCCAATAAAGAGTTATTTTTGTGACATTTAGGTACGCTACCTCTTTTTTCTCAAGATATTAATACATTCATGTCCAATAAAGAGTTATTTTTGTGACATTTAGGTACATGTATTTATGTTTTCGGAAGATATGCTGTTTTGTCAAAGTAGTTTTCGAGCATTTACACGGGGTGTATTGTTGCTCAGGTACATGACATACGTCAATTGTTACCTTCATTTATGGATTGATTACGGGCTAGGCTAAATTTATAGACCCTTTTACATTCATGTTGCATTTCAAATTGAGATTTGAGCGAAGTAATCAACATTCCACCAAAACAAGAGATGAATCAAATGAATTAATTGCCAAGATCTATTGTATGCATAACCTGGTAAAGAATTATACGTATTTCATCTTCATATTTGAAATATGTTGACGACTAGTCAATTTTGGCGTCTGTTTTTAAAAACAAGTGACAAGGGATATTTGGCAGACGACATCGATTTATCTGATGAAGACGAAGAAAAAGTTGTTGTGAAAGAGGAGAGAGATAGTAATAGTGATAGAGAGAGAGATAGAGAGAGAGAGAGAAAGAGAGAGAGAGAGAGAGAGAGAGAGGAAGCAAGAAAATACAGAGAAGAGAGAGAGGAAGGGGAGGGAGGGAGAGAGAGAGAGAGAGAGAGTTCCCTTAAATGCGGGAATTGAGTTCTAGAACCTTTTCAAATGGCATCATATTTTCGGACTGATAAGAAAAAGACGCAATTTCAGCGGTGGAAGTACTAAGAGAAGTTGGCATTAACTTACTTTATGTTTATCAACTGGTAAAAAAAAAAATAATAAAGCCAAGAAGAAAAAACAAACAAGGAAATAAACAACGAACCCTTTTCTGAGATTTTAATGTTAGCCAATAAAGTGGTAAATTTAAAAGGGGCATTTTGTTCTAGATGTGCAGACTCCCCCCCCCCCCCCCATGGGTATGGTGGTATTGCCAAGAGAAACAGAAAATACATACACATTAACGAGACAAAAAGCGAGAAAGGGACTTAAGAGTTTGCAAGTTACTGAGCAACCACATCCAGTAAATACTGTCTTATTCCTTGATTCCACTAGTCAGAGTCGAGAATCATATTGAAATAATTAGATGTGATACCAATATGCCTGTGGAGGTATAATAATGGTTAATTGAATGTATTTTCAAAACGTCAAGTGCTCATGAAGTAGGCCTACCCCAATATTTCTCGGCCCGGGGTTCTTATGAAATATTGTGTGTGTCACATGTAGGCCTAGCAACATATCGCTTAGCAAACACAAATATGTATACCTCTTTTGGTACATAGGTAATGTACACCATGTACTATTCGATAAAATTAATAAAGTAAGTCACTTAATATTTCTGCTCATGTTTTGAACACTTCTCATGCTTGGTTTCGGATAGGACTGGTATATATATATATATATATATATATATATATATATATATATATATATATACATTTATGGGATAGTTGAGTTATGTCGCAGAGGGCGATACACAAACTAATTTGTTGTAAGATAATGAAAAACTGAGTGTCAAATTTGAAAGAATATACAATTCAAATGACAAAATCATCTTTGTTTTATCGAATCAGTTCAGAGACGGCTGAAATATCCATAAAAACCATTTCTTATATTTGTGGTGCCCCTACAAATATTCGGTAATTTTGAAACAGCTTTTTATTCCACCCAATGCCAATATTGGCTTTTTGTTGGCTTTTTCGTGTTGAACCAGCCGGCACGTGAATTGTTATTATTAATCAATTAATTAATTAAAAGGCTACTTATTTTTTGGAAAGTGGAGCTGAAGTGGTATGATCGTATTCAATCTAAATTCACACATTTTGGGGTATAAAATTACCTTCATAGCAATTTAAGCTTCTAAAAGGGCACTAGAAATGTCATAAATAAGAATAAGAGCAATACCATGCACTTTGAAGGCATTTGCAGTCTTAAACGAGAACTCAACTATCCCTTAAACATATCTTTGCGTTCCTGCTACAAGGCCAGATTTTGTTTTAAGTTTTACTGTTCACAGAATATTAAAAACGCAATGAATATTTTCCTTGACGCATTACAGTTTTAGGGTTTCGAGCACAAAACATCGACGAAAATGTTTACCTGCCTGTTGTTGTGAACAGGGCAGTTGTGGAACAAAAATATGACACAAGCGCACTCATACTCAACAGACTTGGCAAACAGTAAAAAACCAATACTGGATGAAATCTTAGGATCTTCACAAAGCACCCGATGTCGGGTTATTTGCCTTTACAGAGTGCGCAAACATTTCGACTATTGACTAGACGATCGCATTCCCATTTTACTGCCGGCAGACCCCCCTATTGACACACATCAATCCTTCCCAAAGTGCTTCTGTGTACAAATGTACTCATCTTCGGATTTAGTACATCAACATTTGCTGTCATCAGAAGTAACCTCCTGCTTCTACACGTGGACCTACTATACGAAGTGGGTCCACGCTCTACGCAATCAAATCAACATTTCATTTATTCCCTTGCGTAACGATAGCGGGGGGTACTAGTTTCCCCTTATGACGATATTTTGGGAGGGTTTTTTCGGTAGATTTGACAAATTTTATTGAAATATCGGTCATAAGTACAGACATATGTTTAATTGACTGACAAAAACATTTAAAATAGATACTGTTTTCTATGCTGAAGGTGTGAATCTGAGTCCGAAATTAACTTACCCTATTAATAAACCTAACTAGAGATTGTTTAAAATTACCAGTGTTATTTCGTTTAGAGATAAGTATGTTAAATAGTATATTGTCCTCACGCGACAACAACCCTCATCAAGAGGGGGGAGGGGGGGGGTGTGGTATTCCTTAATAAAAAGTTCACACCCTGCATGGGAAAAACAAAGTTCACCATTCAACACATGCGAAAGCGATGACGAATTAACAATAGTTGAATAAATTGCAGATGAAGAAAAAATGAAAGAATAATACAAATATCTCAGTAGGTGAACCGACCCCAAATTATTCTTGTTTCAAATAAGGGTGCAACGTAAAACCACTGCAGTGTATTCCTGTTTTCTGGGAAGGGGGAGGGGGT